AGCAATTTCCTCTCCTGAATTGCATAGCTTCGCGTATGTGTGTGCATATATACCTGTTCTTGTTAATAAAAGGATATAATCTCAGGAGGAACAAAGTGTAACGATCGAAATCTTTTCGTTTAAAGTTTAACATTATATACTAAGGACTATGACACGTAAAAAAACATAAGCAGTAAGAAAATTGACCAATCACAGTTGATTATTCTTTGACCGTAAGGAGAATTTCCTTACTGCTTAAGTCTTATTGTTTTTCTGTGTGTCATGGATCTAAGATGCTTGGTATTACACGTTACGTGTCTCCACGACGAATCATGGCTCGTTTCGATTTTTTCCCACGAAAAAGATGGATTTCATTTTCGTCACGAAGGTCGCCACGAGGTTTCTCTAAATTCGAATTCGAAATCTATCATTACGCGAAATCTGTTCCTTTGAGCATGTGTAGCATCGTGTAATTGCTCGGTGTAAGAGAGTCGTAATTTATAGAAGACCGAGCATCACAAATTTTCCGTAGGGTTCTCCGTTTTCTGAGGCCGAACCTGGTGGCGAGTTTGCGGACATTGCGAATTGAAGTGCCACGGGAAAGCGTAACGAGCAAAGGCTCGACTAGGAAACGCTACAAATTGAATTCCAACGGCAATGTAGCGGCTGATTCAACCGATCACACACAACCGGCCGGTCTGGCGGCTGGAGCACAGAAGCCGGTCCATTATCGGCCACGAGGAAGATCGTTAAATCATCGCCACGGTAATGGCAATTGCGCCCATCGCGGTTCATTAGCGCCAACATATCGCCCGCTATGTCGTCATAATGTCGATACCTCCCAATTGGAACGACCAGTGACGCGTTCTGTAACTCGGGAGCGGAAAGAGGAAGATGTTGAATTCAGATAGACATAGATCGCAGATGTTCTCCCACGCAGATATTCGACGATTCCAGCCGTGAAGCATTCGCTTATTAAGACGTTCGAATGCGAGCGCGTGATCGTATTCGTAATCACTGAGGAAATATACTAACGATCATTACGTATATCCATATCGTCATTAGTGACAGCTTAGTTAACCAAGGTGCTGATACTGGGCAATTAGCAATCAAGGCTTATACCCTCAATCCTCAGGGTATATACTCAATAATTATAGTGATCAACGATATAACGATTGATATGCATGCGTGGCCGATGAATATGTATTTCTCTCCTTCTCTCTCTCTCTCTCTCTCTGATTCGAAATGAATCAATCACGGTGATTTCTCCATGAAAACGTTTTAGTCATGCTCATGTACGATATGAATAAATCCGTCATATATATGCATTGTGATGTAAATAATTCTGTTTCTCTATAAAAAGATTCGTTTGAATATTGTTTATTTTCAAAAGTGAAAAAAGAAATTAGATTATAATATAATAAATATATAATGTAATAATTATTATAGACTATTCGATTGTTATATTAATATTCATCGAAATACGAGAAAAATTACTTTTTTGTAAGATTGCATGAAGTATTTCGTTTTATCCGACCTCTATTCTGTATTACCTTTCCAAAATTTACCTTTAAAAAAATTGATTTAACATTAAACCTACCATAGATAAACGAAGTCTACTAGAGACATGTTGTAAAAAAACGCTTGGCTTACAACTCAATGAAAACTAATTTCGGTTATCTTTAATAGTCTTCGATTTATCTTAAAAAAATCTTAGGTTATTCCATAATATCGGTATTTTCTTTATCATCTTCAAGGTAATGTACTCAATATGCACGTGTTATAACTTGGATAGATTCGCTCAGCCGTTCATCAAATCAGATAAAGAGACGGTTGATCAATGTGAATGTAAAAAGTGCGAGACTTGGTCGATCGTTTCGCAAGTCTTTTTCGAACGAATAGATCTTTTCTCTTTTGGTGCCTTACAAAGGGTTATTTTATCCCGCGAGGATCGAAGAAGGCGGGCCGGAAGAAGCAGCTTGCGCTCGGACAGGAATGCGAATCGAAATGCCTGACAATTCGATTTCAACGCGGACGATACGAGCTGTCGTAGAGTTCAAAGCGAGATTGGAGAGATTCGTCTTCGCGTTTGAACGCGATAATTGGAGAACGTTCGAATTAAAGACATTTCGCGATAGAGCGATCACGTTGCGTTGTCTTTCATAGAAGACTTATGCGGAAACATTGTCGTATCGTCGACAGTATTGAACTCAAGGTCTAAACGTTTAATATGTTTAACACACATACAAAGTCAAGAAAAGAGTAATATTTCCAATTGCGCTCGAATCGTCTCGTCGCACTTTTATCGGGAAAATTCGATGGAAACTCTCGCGTTCGACGTTTCATTCCGGCCGATATTGGCCGCAAATCGCAATTATTCTTTTCACCACCATTATCCGGAATAATGCGTGGTTTGTGATAGTAATCTGTTACACCGTAGCGCGGAAAGTCGCCGATGGGGAGGGTATTAAAGTTATCCCCGCAGCTTGTTCGATGCGAATCAAAGAGACTCAGCGCGACTGCCGTACCTTTTGCTCCATTTTGCCGTCAGCTCCTCGCAATCGCCTTCGGTCCCTTTGAACCGCGAGTAAGATGGTACCGGAAAGTAAAATATTTCCGTCGTCGGGTTGACTGAATGAGGCTGTCGCTCGTTTGACGGAATCGACGCCAACGTTTTCTCCTCCCCATTCCTCCCTGCTGCATTCCCTCGTCCTTTTTCGATTTTCCTTTTCCTCCGTCGAGTACTCTAATCAGGACGCCGCTGCTCTCCTAGTGAATTTTGCATTTTCGCCGTTGGAAATGGCGGGGACACCGCCGAGGGAAAGAACTCAGACGAGAGAAAACTAACCCTGCCAGACGCTGTGAAATAACTGACGACGTAAGCTACTTCCCTCCGGTTTACTAGACTCACAATGGAAACCTGAGACTGAGGAAACCTGATGTTTATCACCTTCAGAATGCGGAAGCTTATTAAACGCTGCCCCCTCTGCTCCTTCGCCGCGCAACCTCGTCCCGCGCACTCGCATTTCATTGTGCGGCCGTCGGATTTTGCAGTCTGAGAAACCCGAACCCGTGTCTCTCTCTCTCTCTCTCTCTCTCTGTCTCGTGCGATTTATCTTTGATGCACACATCTCCCTTCACCGAGAAAAAAAGGCAGAGAGGGAAAAAAGGAGGGCCGAGATAATATTCATGGGACATGTCGCGTGATTATGAATGCGAGCTAATTAGAGCTGCGTCGCGCAGGTGTTCATCGGAATATCTCGCGATATACGTCGAAGCGGCGATGAGATTCGGGATTTTTAACGAGTAGTCAAAGCTCGACCATGCGACACACGAGCGAATTCTAATTGAAATTCTTACTCTGACAGGAAGAGAAGAGAGAAAGAGAGAAAGAGCAGCTTGAGGTATGCAATGGCATTTAAATCGTGTCCTCTGTGCACCATCGTTGAGAGCCCTTTGATCGGCAATGTCAAAGCCGACGTGTATTACGCGACCGTAAATTATTATCTAGCCATCAATATTTCATACGATACTCATAAAGGTACCCGGGGAAGTCGCAGCGTGGAAATAAATCCTGACTGCTGATCATGTTCTGTTTGGTATTGCTTCAAGCATTCAAGCGGCGGATGTTCGATATTTCCGATTGAATTAATCAAACTTTACGCTACGTACGCGCGATATCACCGTACGTGTAGAAATTCTATTCCTCTCTTCCAGCAGAGAATACATCTCCGTGTCGTCGGATACACGCCCCTTAAGGCGCCACTTAAGCGGAGTTGTCTTCTAACGCGCGCAGATTTCGTTGTCTTTCGCACAAAAATCCATGTTACGTTCCGTTCGGCCGTAACGACGGATTTATCCTCGTCTCCCTCACTTGTGTTTTCCCGTCCGGAGCGCAAAGCGCCTCGCAGCCGCGGATATTTATTTTTCCTTCGTTCTGCTCGCGAATCCCTTCGAAAATAAAGGGAAACTCAATGACGAGCGATGAGCGGGATTCCGTACTATACAGCGAATAAACGGAGCGCTTTCGGGAACGGAGGACAAATCGAGTGGCAAATATTGAGAGAGGATGCGCGAACGAGAGAGAACAAGGGAGGAAGTGAGGAAGAGAGAGAGCGTGTCGCAGGGTGCAAGTGTTCGCGAGCGGCAAATATTGGAGGAGGAGTTGCGCGAGGATTCATGAAACAAGGCAAGCAAAGAAAGAGAGAGAGAGAGAGAGAAACACGGAGAATTGTCGTTAACCCAAAAGCCAGAGAGCCATACAACCCGCGGCTAGGCTTTCAGCCGTGCTCCTTCCTTCGGGACTCGGCGCTTATTAAGAGAAATTTAGAAAGTTTCCGTTTCTTTCGCGTTAAGTTTAGAACTGCCGCTGCGCGCGCTTAACATCCGACGCGCACGGATGCAAGAGAATTCCGTTGGCCGCAAAGGCGATCTCGCGTGTGTGTTCGTGTGTTTTCAGCGCGCCACGGCTCGTTGGAAATGCGAACGAAGCGGAAATGGGATTAGCCTTTCGTTTCAACGCGATTAGATCCGGGGCGATCTTATCGGCAGCCTTGATTCGGGGGAAAATATATTTTAAACAGGTAGGTCGCTCTACAAGAGGACGATGACGTCCGGACCGAATAAGCCCGCGCGTCACGCACGGGAGGAGAGCTCGACGTTTCACATTAATCTCGAAATTTAAATTTTAACTTTGCTTGAATGACAGTGTACGTTTTTCCGCTTGCTCGCCGAAAATCCGATATCCCCGGCGGTCCCCGGGCTTTTTGTGCCCGATTGTAATTACAATGGAACGTGAAATGTGACGGGCTCGCGCGAAACGTTCGTGCCACCCTAATTAGAACGACGGCTGTTGGATCCTACGCTCGGAAGGAAGAGCGATGTTCGTTCGCTGCCGATGGAGAGGCACACGAGGCAAAACAGCCTCACCGGTGGGGCGCAAGAAATCCCTGTGACCGAGGGGAAGTCCGCAAGTCTTCCGCCGCCTTAATGAGGCTATTACACCCGAAGTTTCCACGTACCTTGGACAGAGTGGTCGGGTGCGGATAGAGGTTGACGAGGCAGCTCTGCCGCCGGATCCGGTAGTCCCAGCGTGTCTCCAAGTGCGGAATCTCCATGGTGTCGCAAATGCTCTGCACGTGAGACGCCGTGTGCGCGCTCTGCGGGCCAAAAATCGCCGCCACTCCGCCGCGCAGCAAATGGCACACTGTACACAAAAGCAAGCAGCGGGATATATAATTCGGTTAACGAGGAGCTTGTTAGCGCGCGCGGAAATATTTTTCCCTCTCTCGCGAGAAGGTTTCACCGCGGCGTTCGGTATCCCGAAATTGCCCTCCACGTGCGAAGCGTGAATCTTTAAAGAACACCGCGAGCGCGCCGGTAACAAGGATCTCCGACGGGATTAGTCTTCAACATAATTTCCAATTATCTTCAAGTTTATGCACTCAGGCGAAATCCGCGGAAAGAATACCCTTTAGATGAGTTTTTACCACGTTCCACAATTTTCAGCTCACGGTGCTTTTGCAATAACTAACGATTATAAGATCACACCAGAGGCCGCCCGTGATATTCTTTGTTTTATATATTCAATTAACGTTACGCACACACGTGTTACGCACTTTCTAAGTTTCTTCTCGACGGGCATATCCTTTATCTTTGCACTGGAACAACCGGTCTTAACGTAAATATGAATTACGCAAACTGGAGGTAGGGTGGATCGATTAATTAGCTCGGCTCACCTCTGTTATGATAATGTAGAACGGGAGCCGTAACACACTGATACGCGAACAAGATAAGCATGACGTAAACGCTGGCAGCGTGTACCGCGATGTTAAGCCCGAACGAAACGAAATGACCTGTCGCATCACCGTATATATCGATCACGCGACCGTCCTCCGATGTGATTAGGGTCGCTTCGCGCATCGACGGCGCGCTAGTTCGTATCGTATGGATATCGATTAATCATCGCGACCTCGCGCGAACTTAGTCTCGCAAAGTGCAACTCCGCGGGCTCGTCGGAGCAACTCTCGGCTCCCGCTTCCTCCCGCAAACTCTCGATCCGCCGTCGTGATAAACGACGAGCTATCGCACGAACATCCGCCAGCATCCCCCTTCGCCAACCGATGCATAACTCCCCGATCAAATCTCTCCCATTCACTCTTAATTTAATTCGTCGAATAAATGTTTTCGTTACCACCGCGCGTAGTCGATTCCGAAGACAGAATCTCCTCCCTGTCTCTTTCTCGCGCAAGCGTTGCTCCACGATAAATCACCGCGTCGAGGTAGTCAGCCACCCACAACCCGCTCGCGGCAAATGTCGCCTCGTTTCGCTCGCTTGTTCTTCGCAGCGACCACGGGGGAAAAAATGACGTCGCCGGTCGCGGTCTCCGCGGAGGATCGCGAGTTCCATTTCCTTCGATCACGGCACCGCTCGTCGTGATTGTCTCGTCGATTTCGCGTCCGCTCGTGTTGCCGTCGTCGTCGTCGTTGGTGTGATTTCCAAGGTTTACCCCGCTAGTCAATCGTGGATGAGTCATAATGAGAATTTTTTGCTCGCCGAGAGGGGAATCCCTCGATAAGCGCGAGTGGATAAACTTCGGAAGAAAATTGTCTCGGCGCTCCACTTGGCGGAAGATTACTTTGGAACTCGTTTATGATACCTTTCATTAAAGAAAAAAATGTTTCGACCGTAGTCGTTCGTTCCCGGGGACCGCTGTGGTGGTAAGCTCGTGGAAATTACTCGGGAGGTCGTTTCGCGCCTAATAGCGAACGTCGCGAGTGTGTTCCAATAGCGAGATGCCTGTTCCTCCTCGTTAAATCGACATTTCTCACGCCGTTGCGCCGTTTATTTTTACTTTCTTGCCGATAATTAAATTCCGCAACGTGAGCACAAGCCTTCCTAACGAACTGGTATTAATTTCTCTCGTCTTCCTCGCCCCCGACTTGAACCGCGATCATTTTTCGTCCTCTCTCTCTCTCTCCGACAAACAGCTCGACAAAAGAAACGCACTTTGAAGGAGTAACCGATCTATAACCGAGTATCGCGCAGCTATTAATAAAGGCATTTTGTCCTTCTTTTAACACTTTTTTCTCTCAGCGAAAAGTATTCCATTTGAGAGAGAATCTCTTTTTATGTAACATCGTTCTCCCCCCTCTCCTCTCCCCCATCACATACCTTATTAAACAGTTACGGAGTCCCTCAAAGCCGCGTCACTTCTATCCCGTTTACATTTTATATCTATTGTACAGAAAAAAAGATACTACAATCAAGCGGACGTAATTATATTCAAAAAGATGTATGCGATCAGTCATAAAAAAGTTGCAACACCTTTATACGTTTCGAAATGCATCCCGTTACTGTAGAAGAATTCGTTTTTTTTTTCTTAGTAATCCTCAGGAGATGCATTTTCATATTGGATACGAGGTACGTTGCGAAACTCATCGAAAAAATAGCGTCACAACCTTTTTGCGATTGACCGATATGTCGGAATTTAACGACTGGTGGAAACCTCTATCGACTCGATAAAATTACCCTTCGACCTTCGTATGCTTTTACATATCCGAACTTTAAAATCGTCGAAATTTCTTCTACCTATCGAATACGACTCGTCTCTTTTGTGGAATTTTCACACGGAGATCGACCCGGAATCTGACGGGGAATCTAAAGCCGGGAGTGCGCAGACATGCGTCTTCCGACAGAGGACGTCTATTAATCGCATCGCTGACTTTTCTGAAAATTTGATTAAACCACTTTATAAAAGCACAACATCGAGTCGCAGCGGAGCGTGTAAGCGCGCGTGCATCGCCACCACCAGACCAGCGGCAGCTTTAATCTGGAGTTACCTTTTGATCATTTATTCCGAGCGAAAACCGTCTAATGTCCCCTACAGGCTACCTCTCCATCTCGGCGAAAGGATCAAGCGGGAGAGTTCATCCCGCCTCCCTCGACTCTCCCGCTGCCACCTCCTTTGGCTTCACCTGCGTGCGCCTTACCGCAGTCGGCATCTCTATAATCGGCGGGTAAAGTCAGCTTCCGCGGGTTTCGGAGCCCCAAAGTAATACCCGGACAGACCTGCCGGCGTTTTAAGGTTGAAATATGATATGCGCTATATTGAAATTCCGGACGCAATTTCGTCGGACGACCCCGGGGCATTCGCGCACGGCCACACATATCGGTATGTATCGAGAACTCCGCTTTTTTCGTCTTTACATCCATCTCTCCTTCCCCTCCTCTCTCTCTCTCTCTCTATATCTACTTCGCTCGCTTCTTTTTTTGCAGTTTATCATGGTGATCCGTTTCCCGGGGACTTGGAATCAATTCGAACTATATTGTGGCTCAAGAGCAATACGCGCTCGTCTTTTGCCGGCTCAGAGAGAGACGCGGTAGCAGGACGACGCACAAAGCTTTCTATATGTCGGCGGTACCGTCGCTTCGACAAAAGTACGTTCGCACAAGCGTGGGATCGGTGAATCGCGTTTTTACCTCGATGTAAACCGGTATTTTACATCGAACGGTATCTCGACACAACTTGAAAATGACGTGAGCTTGGACGCGCACTGCGAAACCGAGTTAACGTTCGTAAGGAAAGATAGAAGTCACACACGACCGCAGCATAAAACGTTTACTTATTATATTATTATAATATTTTTGAAAAATATATTTTTGCTTATTGTTCCATATGGCTTTTGTGCCTCTTCTTTGTTTTAATCAAGCAGAACGCATAATCATACATTTCAGTCATTTATGACCCCACTTTCTGTTCGGTAGAGGTGTGCGAATCAAGTATTCCCGTGATTGAATCAAATAGAATCTTTGATAATATATTCGAAGTCGAATTGAATCTGAAATTTTCATGTCAAATCGAATTCGAGTCAGATTTTCCAAGATTTACACTGCATGCTTATCTGAATATGATAATGTACGTTCAATGATATTAAAAAAATTTTTTTTTAATGGGTAAAAACATTAATCACTGCATAGTTTCGAGAAAATTTCCCAGCAACCACGAGGAAAATGCTATGCCAGAAAATTTATAATGGATATAAAACAAGAGTGCAGGAGCTTATAAGCTGAAAAATATATATGTATATATATAATCATATTTTACAAACTGGTAAACATGTACACAATATGCCTGAAAAATTATGGAATTAATTAATTTTAATTGTTTGTATAAGCATGTATTAGTAGTGTTTTCAAACTACACGTTTACCTTACAAAGTACCTGTATTTTATGGTCGGAATCACGCCGAATTATTCAGCAAAAAATTATTATGCGAATAATTTTATTAACAATAAAAATATGAATTGGAGGAACTAATTTTTAATCTCAATGACTTATTCGTTTTCATATAAATGAAGCAATCGGAAAACGTGAACGATTCGAAATCGAACCGCCCATGATTCGAAATTAATCGAACTATTTGAATTCGAATCTTTTAGATCTGAAAATGAACTCGAATCGAATCAACAGTGAATCTATTCGAATTCGAACGACTCGCACAGCTCTACTGTTTCAGCTCCTGCTATACCATCCTTTCTTGCGAGAGTTAACTTGATAACTTTTTAATATGATAACGTAACGACTATCCGACGTGTGCTATTGCGAATTGAACGCGTCAAGTGTGACATCTCATTCAAATTTTATGGAACTCTTTCCATTTTTTCTCTCACAGTCTACAGTCAACGTACACCAGGAACGAACACAGCGAAGACATCGCGTTCTTTCCCGACATCTCGATTCCGCCGGATGGCACATATGCGCGTATCTCGCTGCTCATTTCAATCACGGAGAAGAGCGAAACGTCGCGTCATTGCTTTTCGAGCGCGTGGCGGCGCAGGCAGCCGGCCGAGAACGAAACGCAAAGGAGCGATCGCTCGCGGGTTGCAGTTGCCAGCTTTGTGGTATCTCACGATAATAACACGGGACGACAAGAATGTAGTACGAGTTTCGCGACTCGCGTAACTCGGAATATCCTAACATTTTCTGTGCGTTGCGAGAGGCAATGTTACATGCCGGCGAGTCGCATCGTCGTCGCTCCCGACGAGGTCGAAGGATCTCTCCTTCGCCAACGTGCAATTCTAGTTTGGGCTCTCTCTCTCTCTCTCTCTCTCACTCACCGATGACAACAGACCGCGCCTACTTCTGCTTGAGAATATATAGCACGAACCCTATCCCGTGCCCGACAGTTGGATGCATATTATAG